AGGGTATTTCAAAGTTTATGATATGCATTTGTATATTAATCTCATTTCTGGCCCTGTTTTTTATCTTAACTCTCAGAGAGAGTTTTTGTCCTCTTGGAATTTTTATTAACACTCACATATTCCTGTAAGCTATTTTAATTCCTTCTCTGGAACAAGGTGAGTTTTGAATTACTAAATGAGGACTGTTATTTTAGAGGTGTTTCAAAAGGACAGTCTAGCAGGAGAGATTATTCTGCCTGGAACAATTAGGAACAGATTTCCAGCTAACAGGCCTGTGGAACGGGTCAGAGCTCCCCAGATGAAGGACCACAGGGAAGGGCACACACGAACAGGAACAATGAGCTTGCCCGGTGCAAGGTGAGCTCAGTCTACGAACCTGAAGACGGGCATTGGGGTGGCCGACCATTATGCACTTAGTAGAATCCCCCAGCCAAGATGGCAGAGGCCTGAGAGGACAACAGGGGACACGGGAAATGAAGGCTGACTACTGAAGGAGGCTTTGGAGGAAGAACAGGAGACTGGGCCACTCGCTCAGTCAGCAAACATCTCCCATGGAGCTAGTCTTTTTGGAAACATGTACGATACACAAAGTGACAAAAACACTTGCTCTGGACTACACATTCTAGTGGGAAAGACAAGCACGTGAACAGGCAATGGCAACACAGCGTAACAGGGATTCTTACAGAGATAAACCCAGTGCACCCGAATCCACAAGATGAACACGCTAAAAATCAAGAACTAGATATTTATATATGTAATTCCAAGACTTATCCCTTTTGACATTCATGAAAGCATGTAGAAATTTTCTAGAAAAAACAAAATAAATGAAATAATGGTACACAGCTTAATAGCCCTTAGTACCTCATACTAACTGTGTTAATTACCAAGATTGGACAAAGCCAAATCACCATCTAAGATCAATGATTCATTTATCAACTGCAACGAAGAGGTACTCCATAGTAAGTGCATTAATGTAATTCCAAAATACGTCGTACCAGAATAGTTTCCAAGGCATTCTGGCTTCTCAAAATAGAGTATAAACCTACTTAACAAAGCTAGTCTTTTTGAAAGCAAATCCCTCTGAGCAAGCCATTCGGTTCACAGGAAACAGCTTTCCAACTAGTCACGGGTGCGGTGTAAACAACACATGAAAGTGACTGACCCACAATTTATGAGTTACCCAGATGCTCTTTAATTATGTTTCCAAATGCCAGATGATTTTTCCATTCAGAAGATTGTTCCCAGCTTTTTTTCCTCAGGAAATGAAAGATTTGGCATTTACTTGCTTAAGGAGGAGGAATGCTGTCAGTACTAATGCCATGCAACTAGGAGTTGATCACACAAGAACTCCCTCCCCATAAGCTCTTACGCCCAGCCTGAGACTTACGGGGGGGGGGGGGGGGCAGCAGCAGCTCTGTTACATGCACGTGTTGTCACGTGTGTGTAACTGAGGCTGGGGTAGGAAAGTACACTTCATAGGACTGGGTAAAAAACACTTTTTTGAAAAGACTTTCTTGAAATGTTTAGAAACAGCCTATACAAAAAAAAAAAAAAGAAATTAATTCAGAAATAAACATCCTACTGAAAAATCGATACAATCTATTGTAGTATCAATACTCCCTCTTTTAAAGGCCAATCCCTTGGAAAGGGAAAAAAAAACAAAAAAATTGAAAAAATAAAATAAAAATTAAAAATACTCCCTCTTTAAGTTCTACACTGCCACGTGCTTTACCTATATTTACCTTTGTGAGTCCTATGAGGAAGGTATTAGTATACTCCATATTTACCAATTAATCATGGAGAAGCCAAACACATCAGCCTCTAAAGTTGATGCTTCATCATTCAAAACTGGTAAATATTCCTGTACATAAGCCTGAAAAGGCATAACCAAACTCCTAAAGGCAGACCCCGAGGTCCTCAAGCAGGGCTAATGTTGACTCCCCCACCCTGGAACATTTGGCAAAGTCTAGAAACTTTTGTGATTGTCACAACTGATATTAGCATCTAGCAGGAAGAAGCCAGCAATGCTGCTAACCACCCTACTCCCCCCACAATAAAGAATTATATGGCCCCAGATCAAGCTCAGTCGATAGAGCTGAGGTTGAGAAACACCATCATGGAGGAATACAGATCTCTGAAGAATACTAAAGCCATGATTTTCCACATGTGTCCTATGTTTGGGGGCCCATTGGCAGCTATCTGAGACAACAAAAAGGAAGCCAAGAAGGTACCTGGGCTAAGGTTCTCTCTTCCTTTCTATATACGAAAAAGGAAACGGGCAGTGTAAACGTATGTGAAGAAAGTGTTCTGTACCTAAAAATAAACCTAGTCAACCCCATGGGAGCTGTCATCGCTTCTGCTATTTTACTACTGCTACCTTGCTCATGAACCACCCAAATGGCTAGAAAAATCCCCCTGTAAATTGATATGACAGGGACACAAATGATATAAGGATGGCAAGAAGGCAACAAATGAATGAAATGGAGCTCAACAGGGACTGTGGCCAAAAAAAAAAAATTTTAATAAAAACAAAACATAGCATGGTCTTTCTAAAGAGGTCAGTAGAAAGTGACCCACCCAGTAGAAACCTTCTGGTATAAAAAGACTCAAATCTGTCTCACTCCAACTTCCATTATCGGTCACTATTCTGAATGTTAATCAACATGTTACCCCATTCATAGGACAAATATTCGCAACCAGTATCGTGCAACTTCCCTCCTTCTCCTTCGTCCCCAGATATCAGGCTAAACATCATGCCAATCATTCCCTCACTCTTTTAGCTCTTCACCACATGAAATAGATTCAGATCTTCTCAGCAAGCCATGAGTCTGTTTCTGAATGCATTTTAAAATACAAATTCTAGAAAACATGGTGGTGAAAAGGTAGTCTAAAAAATTTTACATTTATCAACTTAATTGTTAACTTGTCTGCCTCTCACAACTAGACTCTCAATTTCTTATTAACTGTTATTTCTCTAGAACATTAATTTATGCCCGATATTTGGTAAGTACCCAATAAATATGCGATGAATAAATGAATTAAAATATCCTTACTAGTTTGCCAGATTTGACGAATCTATTAATGCAGCCAGAGACTTGGTGGGCCTCTTTTTCACACCACAATGCAGTGAAGATGTACAGAAAAGGAACTGTTGATGGAACCATCGCTAGCTCATTTTTCAAGTGATGATTTCATGTGAAAGACCATGGGCTGCAGTAGCAACAACCCGTGGTTCAGTTTTCCACATTCTCAACTAGAAAATGAATTTTGCTTTGTTTCATTATAATGTAAAGCAGCAGTCCCCAACGTTTTCAGTACCAGGAACCGGTTTCATGGAGGACAATTTTTCCATGGATGGAGCGGAGGAGGGGAATGGTTTCAAGAGGATTCAAGCGCATTACATTTACTGTGCAGTCAAACCTCTCTGCCAATGATGATCTGTATTTACAGCCGCTCCCCAGCACTAGCATCACCGCCTCAGCTCCACCTCAGATCATCAGGCATTAGATTCTCAAAAGGAGCCACAACCTAGATCCTTCGAATGGCATGCACAGTTTACAGTAGGGTTTTAGCCCCTGTGAGAATCTAATGCTGCTGCTGATCTGACAGGAGGCAGAGCTTATGCAGCCATATCAGCGACGGGGAGCGGCTGTAAATACAGATGAAACTTCCCTCCCTTGCTGGCCCCATTCCTAACAGGCCAGGGACCAATACCTGTTTGGGGCCAAGGGGTTGGGGACCACAGATGTAATGGCTTATAAAAAGCACCAGGTAGGATTGCATATACATTCTGAGCTATGGTTAAATATATCTATAATACAGAAACAGTAACAGAAAATACACTCTAAAATACATTAGGAAAACAAGAACATCCACTCTAACCAATTCTGTTCAACATTGTACTGAAGGTTCTAGCTGGGGCAACTAGGCAAGAAAAATAAAAGATACCCAAATTGGAAAGGAAGAATTAAAACCACCTCTACTCACAGATGACATGATCTTATATACAGAACCCATAAAAAACAACTATTAGAGATAATAAACTAATTCAGCAAGGTTGCAGGATACATAATCAATACCCAATCATGATGTACCAAATAACATTTCAGTCATTGACGAGTCACATATGACAGTGGTCCCAATAAGATTTTAATGCATATTTTTTAATTATACCTTTTCTATGTTCTGGCTAAACATCATGGCAATCACTTCCTCATTCTTTTAGCTCCTCATCATGAAGAAATGGATCCAGTTTAGATACACCAATATTTACCACTGCGTTACAGTACTCCGTACAGTAACGCACTGTACAGGTTTGTAGCCTACAAGCAACAGACTACACCATATATACTATGTGTGTAGTAGGTTACACCGTCTAGGCTTGTGTAAGTACACTCTAAGATGCTCCCACATCGATGAGGTCACCTAACAATGCTTTTCTCACAATGGATCTCTGTCATTAAGTGATGTATGATTTTATAAAACTCAGTTATTTTTCTTCATGCTAGCAATGAATAATCTAAAAATGAAATTAAAAAAAGAAAACAATTCCATTTAAAAGAGCATTAAAAATACTTAGGAATCAATTTAACGAAAAAATACAAGAATTATATACTGAAAACTATAAAACACAATGGAAATAAATTAAAGACCTAAACAAAAGGGAAAGACAGCTCATCTTTATATACCAAAAAACTAAAAACTGCTCTCATATTTCATTCTGAGTTGATCATGAGGACACAGAAAAACACACTCAGAAGCATACAAAGAAAGCTGACCCTCTGGTTTTCATCGCCTTACTAATCAACACTCAAGGGTGTCTCACCATGTAAAGCAAATAATAGCCTTGTAAGTCCTAGAGCTCACACTGCCCAAAGATTTTGGTAAGGAATTTTTACAACTTTGGTTCATCACTTATCAAAAAAAGGAAATGCTGTTAACTCCACAGGATTTATTCCTGGGTAATTTATGTTGGTGTCTTAACGATCACTCCTTTTCAGTTTTTTACACACTGGACTAGATTTTTTCCATTATTATAGGAAAGCAGTTGAAAAGGATCAAAGAATCTGGTATGCACGGGTTAGTGATCTTAAAGCAAAAGATGCGCTGGTAGTAAAAACCATGTAACTTGATGCATATACAAACTGTCAAAGTATATTAAAATATACTGTACTCTGACTCCAAAGTTATAGGAGTCATTGTGTTTTATCAACCTGGGAAAATATCAAGTCACAACCAAAACAGAAATGCAAGCTAAAGAAAATTGGTGTTCACATTTGACGTTACTTATCCTGAGTCGGCAATCAACAATTAAACAGAACTCCAAAGAATTACATCCTACCCACTCACATCTACAACTGCTATTGTATGGGGAAGGCTCCACAGGATAAATGGACCTATCACTCAGAAGTCTTGTCAAATCTTCTAAAACATCTACTACTGCTATTGTATGGGGAAGGCTCCACAGGGTAAATGGACCTATCACTCAGATGTCTTGTCAAATTTCCTGAAATTAATTTCTTCCCACGTGACCCAGCAAATTCCCCAATATTCATAAAAGGCTCCATCAATAAAACAGAAAGTGTTAAGTGTTTCCGTGAATTCTGGTGATAAATGCTAGAATCTGAGTGACAATTCTGATACCTGACACTTCTACTGAAAATTGTCTCATACAAAAAGTTCCAGATTTAACAACAGAGATCTCAGGAAGTACTTCTCTCACGTAATGAGTCTGGGCAGCATTTCAAATTAAACACTCTATTGTGCAAGGAGCTAATTATGTTAAGATTAAACCCAAAGAATGATAGGGACGTTTACTGTACTTTGAGTAATTAGGCTGGCCTTCTATAGTCAAGAACACAATTTGTTCTTCCTAATTCCAAAAGGTCACTAACTCAAGAAATTCCACAAAACATAGCTTGTTTGGAGTTTAAATACTTTGGAACCAAAGAGATTATTTTCTTTCATCAAATAGTATTCATTTCACATTTTCTCCTTTTTACTATTATCATTTTCATTATTCCAGTCCCACTGCACCATGTAAGTTTCCATATGCAAACATGTTAATATTCCACGAGCATGTGTCTGACATGCAATTAAGTAGTTATTACTTTTTCTACCAAGGCATACAAAAAAATACTGACATTTATCCTGCTTAGTATATTTTTATTAACCACTCAATTATGATTAATTTCTGTAAATTGTTTGGTCAGCTGTTTCCTCCCTTTCTGGTCTAATGATAAACTACAGAACATCCACATGTAGGCACCTTTGGGGCTTCTCTGTGGTTTACTTATTAACCCCCTGCCAGGAACCTAAGCATTTGGACCACAGTTTAAAAACCCAAAATTAACTTCTGAGGGACAGGCCAGCATTCCCATATGCCTCTCCACTGCTACATAATATCCACGTTCTCAATATTTAGGGAATAAATATCCAAATGCTAAGGCCTGTGCTCCCTGCATAACCAAAGTGATCCCCCAAAATAAATAAAGGCCACAAACTGTAGGATTTAAATCTGATTTTTCTTCTTTGTAAATTAAAATGTAAAACGTTATATTTGGACCCAGATGATTGATGGCTAGGAAGCTACACTTTAGAAACTAAAGAAATAAAAAGGAATACAAAGATTGCACAAGGCAAAGGCCTCAGACTCTCCTTCTGACACAAAAACGTAAGCTATGTTTCTTTTTATTTTTTAATCTACCCAAGGTAGTATTTCAACCAGTTATATTTTTTAATGTCAAAAGATGGGAGAAAGGGAGGAGTATAAGAATGTTTAACATTTTATGAATGAACTCTTACAGATTGTTGCTAAAATTAAGTCCTGAATTTGTCAATTTTGACAAATACAAAAAATGTAATATTTTTACACTAGATACATGATATTACATAGAAAAATATGTACTGAAAAAAAGCCACAAATTACTGTTAATAGGGTGGAAGAAGCTAATTAATAGGGCTTATACAATATGATCCCAGTCTATTTAATATATATCATGTAGACTCAGGTTTGTGAAATAAAAATCCGGTACCTACCTTCATATTGGGAGGTAGCCTGGTGACAATGGGAGGAACAAGTGAAGACATGAAAAGAGTATAATTCTGAATACTATAATACTGAATAATATAAAGAATACTTTATATTGTTTACATTTTTACAATAAGCCTGTTACTTTTGTAACAACAAAAAATGCCAGGTACTAACATCAGAAAAGTTTATTAATGTATCCTTTCAATTTTAAAAATTAATTCGTCATTTAATATTTAAAACCAACTCTTTCATGGTTTTGTAACTCATAAAGTGAACATATTTGTGAACTGCTATTTAAATTGCTATCTGGATAAGAACAGAAAATGCTTAACTGATTGGGTTATACACATTAATTATTGCTTTTTTAAAAACAGATTTGTATTGAACAAGGTTTGGGTTTATAGAAAAGTTGCAAAAATAGTACAAAAAATTTCCATACACCCCTCACCCAGGTTCCTCAAATGTTGATATCTAGCACAACCATAGTAGCACAATGACCAAAAACAGAAAGTTAACATGGGCATGATCTTATATCGAATGACAAACTTTATTTGTCTTGCACCAGATTTTCTCCTAATGTCCTTGGTTCAATTCCAGGATCCTACACTGCATTTCATTATTATTTCTCCTTGGCCTCTGCCAATCTATAACAGTTCTTCAGACTCCTGGTCTTTCATGATCTTGACAAAAGAGTCCTGATCAGTTACTGGAGAATGTTCCTCACTTTGGGTGTGTCTCATATCATCCCAGGATTGGAGTGAGGTTATACATTTGTTTAAGAGTAACACAGAAGTAATGTGTTGCATTGGCAGACACTGGACTATCAAATACTCATATCTAGAGGCCCTTATTTGTAATGCTTTTTTTTTTTTTAACTGCTTTTAGTCAATCATGATGAAGACCTTCAAAAGTAGAGAATGGGTTTCAATTAACAATATCTCCCCAGTACTATCTGGGTCCTTCACCATGGGTTCTTATCCAAGTAGATAAAAATTGAAATGCAATGTGGCCTGTACCTTATCTTAATTCCAGGCAGAAGGTGGGAGTGAAAAAAAAAATCCAATCGCCTCTGCAAGCTTTGCTCTCCAGTTATATCTCAGTGAGAAATGATGGCACTCTTAAAAGAGCAGAAAGACCTTCGCAAAGGCACAAAGATGGTCTTGTAAAGGGTGTGTGTGTGTGTGTGTGTGTGTGTGTGTGTGTAGCTAAGGCATGACTCCAAGCAGACAGCCCTCCATCTGATAGATGTCTGAATCGTCAGCTACCCAAGTCCCCAAATATAAATACAGAGCAAACAGCTCTCCTTCAAGCCACTAGGTACTCTTCATTTTGAAACACTTCCCAGTTTGTCTTATATATAAAGATGGCACTTTACTGATTAGTCAAGTAGCCTGTATAATTAACATTAAAAACATTATGATTCCTTTAAAACAGGATCCTCTCTCTCTCGCAAAGTATTTCGCATCGCAGATGGAATCAAGTACTTCTAACACCATCCCCAAGCAGTCCCAGGGCTCTTCTGAAAACAGCTCCCTGAATGGTCTCAATAGGAAATAGCTCCTCAAGTGTTGGTTGTAGAACCGGAACAGGCCGGAAAGAAGGCTCCCAGCCTCTATTAACACTCTCCATATTCTAAGCAGGTTTGTGCTTTGATATGATTTCTACACACTGAAAAGAGAAGAAGAAAATGAGATGAGAGATCAAAAAGCCAGAGCAAAAGATTTCCTGCGATCTTTATCCACTCTGCATCTCTCTTCTTTAGATAAGGGCCCATGGCAGAGGAAAGAGGAGAAAGAATTTTTAAAGGAAACAATTTTCTATTCCTGCTCATCCTTGCACAGCTGACAGAGTCCTAGACTATGTGGGACTCTCAGGTTTGCTTCTCTCCTGGCCTGCTTTGTCTTTCAGGGCCACATAAGAGGAATTCTTTCATGCTGGATTTATGAAACACTGAACCGCCAACGTAAAGAAGTCTTGGAACTTCAGTTATGGGCATCAGACTACGACTCTCTCATTAGGCTCGGGTAGGGATCCTCAATTCCAGCATTATTAATATTTGGGGTAGATCATTCACTGTTGTAGGGAATTGTCTTGTGCTTTGTAGGCTGTTTATTGGCATCCCTGGCCTCTAACCACACTAATGCCCCCTTGTCCCACACTGTAACAATCGAAATTGTCTTCACACATTGCCAAATGTAAGGCCAGTCGTGGTGGCTCACACCTGTAATCCTAGCACTCTGGGAGGCCAAGGCAGGAAGATGGAATGAGGTCAGGAGTTCGAGACCAGCCTGAGTGAGAGCAGAGTAAGATCCCATATCTCCTAAAAATGGAAAACATTAGCCAGATGTGGTGGTGTGCACCTGTAGTCCCAGCTACTCAGGAGGCTGAGACAGGGGGATCACTTGAACCCAGGAATTTGAAGTTACTATGAGTGAAGCTGACACCACAGCACTTTAACCTGGGCAACAGAGTGAGACTCTGTCTCAAAAAAAAAAAAAAAAGCCAAATATGTCAGCAGGGAAAGGGAGCACTCGTGCTTAGAAATCAACCACTATCCGAGACAGAGACAGACGAGAGACAGACGAGAGAGAGAGAGAGAGAGAGAGAGAGAGAGAGAGAGAGAGAGATTGATTGATTGATTATGTGTAGAAAATAAGTGAAAAGGGGAGGCATTTACTGACTCAAAAATTACTCCAGCCCAGAATTGCCTACAAATTTGAAATTATCCTGGTGACTTTACCCAATTCATCCACTCCACTGAAAAGACATTTGCATTGGCTAGATATATCATGGAGAGAAATACATTTGGTGAGAAATGGTCAAATTTGAGAGCTTGAGCTTCCCCGTGGGGGCTAAGGGAATCCAGCAAAAAGTACTATAAAGCCACCTCAAAGTTTCGGGAGGGGAGGGAGGGGGGGGGAGGGGAGGGAGGGAAGAGGGGAAGAGAGGGGAGGGAAGAGGAAGGAGGGAAGGAGGAAGGAAGGAAGGAAGGAAGGAAGGGAGGAGGGAGGGAGGAAGGAAGGGAGGGAGGGAGGGAGAGGGAGGGAGGGAGGGGGAGGAGGGAGGGAGGGAGGGAGGGAGGGAGGGAAGGAAAGAAAGAAAGGAAGGAGAGGAAGGGAAGGAAAGAAAGGAAGGAAAGAAAGGAAGGAAGGAAAGAAAGGAAGGAAAGAAAGAAAGGAAGGAAAGAAAGGAGAAAGAAAGGAAAGAAAGAAAGAAACAGAAAGAAACCAGAGAGAGTACCTGGTGATTACACTGCCCAGCCAGGGCTTGAGCTGCAAAGACGGCAAGGAAATTCTTGTTGCCATGATAATCTGGCTCAAGCTTCTATTGCCAAGGCCTTAAGAACTCTGTGTTAGAGTTCTTTTTCCCATATCAAACTATAACAATAAGAAACAGCTAACATTTATTCTGTGTCAAACACTGTCCTGTACTTAAATCAGCAGAAATAATCCCAATCAGCCCCCACTATTGTCCTGGAGAGTTTTCTAGGGGAAGCAACAGGACAGAAGGGGGTTGAACCTCTTGCCCCCTGTACCACACTTAGTGACAAGAGGAGTTGGACATGACCCAGAAAGGCAGCTTCAGGTGCCCTGATCACTTAGCTACTCGTTGACACTACTTCTAGAACCATCACTCATTTTTTTCTCACATCAGAGAGCTAATGGGAAAAATGGTAAGCAGAAAATGGAATGGAAAAAACTACTCCCCATCAAAACACCCACATCCACACAAAACTCTTCATTGGGCCACACAAGACCAACTTATTTTCCTTAAGAGAACAGTATTTTATAACATAAATGCCAAATGCAGCCCATAATCCATCCCATAGTATTTTTCTTCTTTCCCACCAGCTCTCCCAAATTAAGAAATGTTGCCAGTGCCCAGAGACAATGTAACGGACAGCCATGTAGTCACTACTGCATTTGACAAGATTTAATGTGTTTTGCTATTTTTGCTTCAGATCTGTTTTAACATTTAAAATATGAAATCGTATAGGTAAAGGAAAAAATGTATCCATGTTGTTCTGTGGGTCCTATTTCTTTATTTTAGCAATTGCACGGTCTCCAAAAGTATGTGAACAAACCACAGCAAAGTCACCTATTGTCTGATAAAGGTCATTTGGGATGTAGCCAGGTTTCCTCCATCACAAACTGTTGGCAATATTCTTGTAGATGTCACCCAAGCTCCATGGTTCAAAATTTCTGTAAGTTACAAATGTAATTACCTGACCCAAAAACACAGAAATCTTCAACTTTACTGAATTACTATGTAGCTCCCCCAAATGGCTATATCAATTCATTCCACCCAACAGCTCTCCCAAAAGAAAAAAAAAGTCACACTTTATGATTCTCCTCCATTCTCTGACTCTTCATTCCACTGATGGTGGGTCTGATCCACAATCAACTCCTCAATTGTTTTAAAGATGGATCCCAAAGGTAGAATGTCATTTCAAGGACAGAATCTCTGTATCCAAATGTAGTGTTTTTACCAGGCTGGGTACTTTACTTCTGCCATGACTTCTGAATTATTCTGGGAACACATGGCCTGGACATGCGAAAATCTCACATCCAAACCAGCCCAGGGACTGCTCACCTCTCAAGAGGAGCATACTAATATAGCCCACTGGGGCAGAAGGTTTGAAAAGCTCCCCAAGAGAAATAACTGTGACCTTTTCCATATATGAGATACTACACTGCATGAATGGTCATGGAAAAAAAAAAGAAAAACTGAGATTAATATTGAATGAGCACTTACTCAGGGGCCAGGCAACATAAGCACTTGCCTCCTCCATAAGCTATGCTGAGAACTAAGTGTGATTCCCACTTTACAGATGGGTAAGTTGGGGCTCAGACAGAATAAGTAGTCCAAGATCACAAAACTAGAAAGCCACAGAGCCAAATACTAGATCCAATTCATTCTAACTCCTGAACCGACATTCTTACTGCATTTCAAATACCACGTGCACTAGACAAGACTGTCCTTTTGTGCAAGTACACGTTACTTTCCAAAGGAAAATATATTTATTTGGCCCAATCCTGTCCATAACAAGACATTGTGAAAAGTGGTTCCCTGACTGAGGTTTCAAGAGTCAACGGAGTAGAGGAGAAAAGCCCTGTTATCCTAGAAGCAAGCTTCGCTGCCCTGGCTCAATAGAGCAAAGGGGGTATTCAGCCATCGAGAGAGCTTTGGCTCTGAAAGCTCTGGCTCTGAGCTTGGCTTCTGAAAGGTTAGACAAGAACACTCAGCTCTAAAACACAGATCCCTGGATCCTTAATGCCTAAGGCCTTTAAAGTTAAACAGCCTTGCTGAGAAACAGACAAAGAGAGAAAGAGTAATTTATCTCCTTTAAAAAGGAAGGCAAGCTGGCAATGTCGCCAGGGAGCTGAAATTCCGAAAGGCCTTGGTGCCTTCCACACCCTGCTGCCCTGACTACCAAAGCCACCGTCCCCCATCAGTGGGAAGAGGAATACAAGATGAATTCTAAAATATAAGGCCAGAGAGAAACAAATCTTCCCATCAACAAACTTTCTTCATTTCATGGAAGCTACTGTAGATTCTATCAAACGATTCTGACCATGATCCAATAGGGCCGACAGGAGAACATTTTTTCCATTACAACCAAACACCCAGGGAGAGTTAGCATTTTTATGCTTTAAAAAAAAAAAATGGGAAAGGACCTTCAAGACACTCTGTTGGTTGCCCCTCCACATTCTAGGAAAAAGAAACTGACAGTCTTAAAAAAACGATACTCAATTTTTCTTGAAACCTCCCGATTTCAATGTCATTTGTAAGTAATTCTACCTTGCTCCTGATTTCTAAAGTGATTTTTAAAAAAATTTATTAGTCATACTCATTAATTGAGCTTTCAGTAAATGACCTAATTTATTTCATAAACAGGAGCCTAGCATACAACTCAAGTTATCATTACTATGATTGTCTCCATTTTAACCAACATTTCAATAGAACTTTAAGGTTTATACAGACAGCATTTTCACAGATTTTATATAATCAACCTGATACTCAAAACTGGGAAGTAACAATTATTTTTCCAAAAAGAAAAAAAAGAATTATTTTTCCTACTTGACATTGGAAAATTTAGCATCAGCAAAGTATGTTACGTATAAAAACTACAATATATATGTGTGTGTATGTGTATCTCCCCCCCCAAACAGCAAGAAAACAATGATATTTTATATATGCTAGTATAAGGGAGAATTTTTCCACTCCCTTCCTAATAGCAGGGTAACTGCAAACTAGCATGACTAAGCAACTAAAGAGTGACCTTTAACTAGATCTCAGTCTTGTGCATAATTGCAAAATAGCATGACTAAACAACTACAGGGTACCATGAGACTAGACCTTACTCTCGTGCAGACTTTGTAAACATTTGCTTCTGTATCATATAAAACCCACCATGCTCAGACCCCATTTTGCTCAGAATTTGGAGGTGAGACCCCTCTGAGCCCACCAGCGTAGTAAAAGCCTGTTTTGCAGTACTCTTGTGTGGCTCTCTTGGTTTGTTTCTCGGTCTTGTTTGCTGTAACACTAGCATCTCCGTAGTATATTTTTATCCTAGGATCATAGAAACAATATGCCAAATACTTCCTACTGCTATGGACTAAATGTTTTGGGATCTCCCCAAATTTGTATGTTGAAACCTCAAAATTCCTATGTTGAAACCTAACCCCCAAGGTGATGGTATTAGGAGGTAAGGCCACTGGGAGTTTAGGCCTTTGCCAGGTAAAAACTAAAGACATGGTGACGATGACAAAGAGAAGGCAAGGGAGGAGGGGAGGAGGAGGAGGGGAGGAGGAGGAGGAGGAGGAGGAGGGTGGCGCTAGGGGTAGCAGAGGTGGAGTCACAGGAGCATTGAGGTACTTAGTCAAGAACGGCACCCAGGGCTTCTGGGCACAGCACAATTTTGGAATGGTCACAAGTTGAGCATATTAAAGAAGTGACTTCAGCCATGTGAAGTATATGCAGTCACCTAACTAAAAAGCAAATATTCATTCTGAGTTTTCATACTTTTTGAGTCATGCAGCCAAAATAACAAAATGTGATTTTATTTCTCACAAAGATCTGCCCCACAGACTGGCCACACAATGGTCTTTCACCTTGTCCTTCTTGCAAAAGAGGGCCACACCCAGTAATTTGTACAAAGAAACCCTGAAGTCAAAATAGGAAATAAATTCTGAATTGCATGAGACAACTTCAGAGATGTAGGAAATCCATGAAGAGAGATCTGGGTGGTGCTACTCATCTGAATCCAGTCTGCCATGGGCAGACTGGTACAATTCGAAGGTACAATTGACCGTACAGCTATAAGGAATGAACCAACACCAGAACCCTCAGAGCTAAAATAAAATTAGCAGCAAGAAAGGCCATGGTGTTCAGCTAGTCAAATCCCATCCCCCTAACAGTCTACAAAGCAGACAAGCCACATAGAAGGCCAGACTTGCTTTAGGAAAAAGTTTGGATGGAGCTGACCAACCCAAAGGCCAGAAGATCTCATGATTCTGCTCTAAGTCTTAAAAAAAAAAAAAAAGTTTCTAAGCAAGTCATCCAACAGATCTTGTTATAAATGTGCACACTGATTTAAATATGAGGCTATTTCAGGTACAAAGACCAATGCCCAAAGGAGTTCAAAACAATAGGAGAACCAGAGAGGCTGGCCTCAGAAACCTTGAGAACTACAAGGAACGGTATCTGACCCCAACCCTGGATGGTTTGCTTTCTTCCTGCTTACTCAAACAAAAAACTATCCCTTTACAAACAATTTGCTGTTACAAATTAGCCTCTGGGTGATTCTATAGGCCAAATGTGTCTGCTTTGCCCAAGAAAACCTTTGAAGTTTAACTCACACAAGGAAAATTTAAAAGAAAGAAGAAAGAGACAGGAAAGGAGCAGACTAACAGGGAAGGGCAAGGGGAGACCAGAGAGAACACTGAATGCCACAGTGCATCAAGGAGAGGCAGGAAGGCCAGGGGGTCTCTGGGCAGAGAGGTAGGAAATGAAGCCATCAATATAACCAGGGGCAAGATGATATAATAAGGCCTTTCTTCTGGCACTTAGGGATTTTGGAGTCAATTCTGACAGAGGCAAGAAATCATGAGATGGTAGCAAGCCGAGGTGTGACATAAACCTTAAACTCTCTCATCTTGGGGCTTTTCCCCCAAGTTTGAGCCCAAGGGCTCAGGCTCCCTGCAGAAGAAAGCCCACTGTGCTCAAACTCTACAAGCCATCCCTACGCCTCATGGGCTTCATGCAATCTTGGGCTCCCCTTGCCTTACAAAGGACCAGAAGCATCTGCATGTCCCTGTAAGTCAATTTCGATAAGGGAAGCCCTACGTCCTCCATCTCTCAAACTCCACTGCCAACTGGCACAAGGTATGTGCCCGACAATCCCTACGGAAGAGAAGACGAGAGAGAGGGAGAAAAGGTACAAGGTGAAGAGCTTGGACTGTCCAGTGAGAGGGACCTGCCCTGGACCCCCTTTCTGCCACTCAGCAAAATGTGTGACACTTTATTTTACCTCTCTGGGCCCCAATTTCCCTATTTTTAATATAAAGATAAGAGTCATGAAAGATCAAAGGAATGACAGGAGAAAGAGTTTAGTGCATGGCTCATAAAGAGCAAGGAATTATTAAAGTTATTATTATAAAATAAAAAGTAGAGAAAGAAGAGAAGGGAAAAGCCTCAGTCTGGAAAGGTCACCGGCTTGAGCTATGCATGCACAGCCTCGTACGCTAGCTGGTTACCCAGCAGGCACCTTCTTCCCTTGGCTTTTTCCTTCCATCAATTACCCATCTAACCATCCTCGCTTCAGGCAACCAAGTCAGCTCAACAGGGGCCGCTGGTATGTCTCCACACGCAAATGCGCCTTGGCCATGGAGGAGGGCGGGCAGGGGGTACGGGCCCATGCCAGGCACCCGATGGGGCCACCATCAACACCTGCTGTCACTGAATCACAGCGACAAGAAAAGTCCTGCTCAGTTCCAGAAGGAACTTCTGGGGCCAGGAGGCCATCTGGTACTGATCTCTTTCCAGTCCCAAGCAATCTGACAAATAACTACTCCTGACTGGAAGGATGACGTTCTCCCCAGCTGACAAGAAGCCTTGAAACTCCTAGCAAACCCTCTCTGAGCTGCGGCCCCAGCACTCACGTAGTCTCTCCTCCACAGCAAACACGAGTCTCTGTTAGGACAAAAGAACAGCCAGTTCCAAGGAGAGGAAAATTCAGTATAAATGGCATTTTTACAGGAAGGAGCTATGCTCACTTCTCTTCTTCAACTCCTAGCCAGGTGTTCCTGGAATGTTCCTGGACTAGAATGTTCCTTCTGGTCCTCAGCCACAGTCCCAACCCCACACCAGCCTGGGCAGTAGGGTCAGAGGGTCAGAAGCCTACCAGTTCCTGACCAGCACCCCTTCCTGCTCTTCCGTGAGGTCAAAGCCCAGGATCGTGGTCACCCACAAACAGAAGCATGTGTTACTAGGGGCAAAAGGAAAAGCATTTCGATCTGTGTCGAGATGGGGAAAGGGAAGTACAGGCGTTTAACAGGCAATGTCAAATAATGAAATGATACCTGCTGAAAGTATCTGGAGGCAGCAACCCTAAAGAGCAGACAGATCCAAGTCAGCCCATTCCAGGACGCAGGACGGGTGGCACTACATGAATTACCCATACCACATATGAGCAAGCACAGAGGAGTCCCCGGTTCAATTACACCATCCCGCTGGGGCCTTCCCAGTGTCCCTACGCTGGCCCATCAAAGGCGTCACACATCATATCTCCAAACAAACCAGAGCCCATGTGACTGGCAAAGGAAGCCTGTCTCTTTGCTGACTTGACTATGAAGACTTGTCACAGCGACAGCCTACAGGATGATAATGAGACGTCCCTGCCTCTGAACAACTGCTGAATCTCAGCGTTTTCTGGAAGGGTACAGATGCAGCCAGCAGAAAACAAACAGCAGCACAACCCTGCAGGCCTTCTGCGGCTGCTCTGGCCACGTGGCCATCAGAGGAAATACGTTTTCTTCCAGGGCAGTGGGCTAGGAAATCTGGCAACGGTGGCACAAGACACATCGGCAGAAAGGAAAGAGAATGACCCAATGAGAAAGCTGAGGGGCTCCGTCACGCTCGTGTGGCAGAAACAGCTTGCTGCCACCTGCCCTGTCAGCAGGAGAGGAGACCAGGGCCAAGAAACGATGATTCTATTATGACCAGGTATGAGGACGGCACACCTAACCCATCTACTCCACAGCTGCAAGAACAATCAGGGAACCAAGCAGAGTCAGTACAAACTTGGGGACCAGGTCGAGGTTCCTTGAGTTCCAATCTTGGCATCACTATCAATGAGACACATGCTTTGGACTGGGATCTCTAGCATCCAGTTTTATCAAGCAAAACTTGAGAAAAATAATACTATGTTCCTTGTGGAATTTTTGGAGAATTAAATTAGATGCTCAAATGAGGGTTTAAACGTAGCTTTCTTAGTGGTAACTGCTATTATTATTATTACTGTCATTGTCACTAGAAGTTTGATATGCACGGATACGCTGAGAACAGTGACTGACAGCACTCTAATCTGCCCAGTATTAACCCCACAAATATCCAAGGCATTGGATCTCCTGGCCACATGACACAAAGCAACTACCAGTTTGCCTCTGGACAAAAGCACTGTCATCCTTACTGAGCAGCAAAAATGACGACAGTCTCCAGACACCAGACACCGCCAAATGCTTGGACACGCAGCACAGGAGGGAACAAAGCATAAAGTGGCCTCAGACTGACGGGGAACACTGTCTGGCGCCAGGACGTGGCCGCTCCCCGTCTCCCCGCCGCTCTGCATCTCCGTGGGCCGGTGCTGTGCGGGGCCGGCTGGAGGTTGTGGCCGGTGGGCTTTGCTGGGGCTGGGCCTCCCGACCGTCCCATGCCCGCTGTCCGGGCCAGGCTCGGCCACACTGCTCCCGTGATCCTGATTGGGTAATTTTTGAATCCCACTGTTGCTGATTGGATGTTAAAGCTTGCTGCTGATTGGATGTTAAAACCTGTAGTTGATTGGATGCTTTTTGAGTCTTACCAAGGGTATAAAAGCAGGAGAAAAGGGAAGGGGGGTCAGAAATCAGAAGTGGAGAAGAGAGAAGATCAGAAGTTGGCTGTGCCTGCTGGCTGAATAAAGGCTGTTCTCTGACTCTTTGTGTGCCACTCGGTTCTTTCCCCAGTCAAGAGCTGTAACACTAGCTGTACACCTTGCCGCAACAAGACCATGCGAGCAAAGGAAGGACTGAATGTGGTCCAGTGACCGTGGCATGCTGGCCTAGTGGGCTTTTCTAAGACACTAAAAAATAGTGATGGAGCTTCTGCTGAACTATTTAAATGCCTACTGTGGGACAATCTGGGAAGAATGAGAAAGCAGATACTCCCTACTACAAGAAGATGGAACCCCTGGGTCTTCCCTGCCTCCTTCCCAGTGTATTCCTGAACTCTTCTCCATTTCTAAAGCACAGATGTAGAAGTGAAAACCTTAAAATCCCAGGGCTATTTGAACACTCTGGTTGGCTGGCAAACTGGATTTAAAGACGGCAACAACAGCCAGAGAATTACAACTGCAAGGTGAAAAATTAAGAGCTGCAACAAATTTAGTTCACCATGCAAAGCAGAACTTGATAGTTGATTAGAGGATCAAGTGACAAGCACACTGACTCTGGTGTCCTAATCTCCTTGAGAATTGCCTTAATTCTCCCAGAATCCTCGAGATGATCAGTTTAGCTCCCTTGCTTGCAAGTAGACAGAATTAGAAGGCTGGGGATGACCTCCACACCCAGTAATCAGGGACACAGAGGCTCTATCCCACTGAGCCATCTGTCAAAGACAGACATCTTCAGAGATCAAAACTGTGAGACAGGGTCTCTACATTTCTGTGAGGGACCAGGATGCCTTTGTCTCCTGGGGCATGAGACAAAACCCTGGGTGAATAAATAAAGGGGTACAATGATAGAACCAGTTCTGATTATGCAGCAGGAAGAATTCTGCAACCGCAGGTAACATTTATCAAGAATTATCAAAGGCAGGTGCAAAGGGAGGATTCTGAGTTTGTTCTCATAACAACCCCATGAGGGAAGTATTTTTACTATCCCCATTACACAAATGCAAAGAACTGGGGATTCACAAGTGACTTGCCTAAAGTCCCGTATCTTAGGACAGGGTAAGATGCAGGGTTGGGACCCAGAGCTACCTGGTTCCATTGCTGTTGTCCTTCACCAGCATGAACCTAAACTTGGGCACCTTGTTCAGAATTGGATTGATAAGTGAGCTCTGCTGAACATGGAAGACGACACTGAGGTTCATAGCAGGTCACTCACTCTACCTACTGAACTGTTCCCTTTTTCATTGGAAATGGGAAAAGGTTGAACTGCAAGTGCAAAACTAGCCTTTCTTTTTACCGGTTTAAATGACAGAATTCTATGATGGCCTGGAAAAAAAAAAATTTAAGTCATCCAAGTCTTGCAAAGAGCAGCAGGGAGCAGAGCTCTGTCTTAGGAACCCAGAATTGCATTGCCCGAGGTCACCTGGGGACTCACTCCTAAGGCCTATGCTGAAAAGCTAGGATAACTTTCTCGCATTGCGAACAAGCAGAAAAGGTGACAAGAAAAATGAAGGGACCCTTCCCTCAGTACAAATTCCTGCCCACCGACAACTGACGTGTCAGAGCAATGCCAGTCTGAGAAGGCCAGGAATTAGGTCTACACCACTGGGACCTGTAGCTAAATACACACTCCAACTGACTTGTTCCTAAAGTGTAACCAGTTAAATTCCCACTAAATTATTTTCCCTATCTATCACTATGAAATGTTCAAAAATACAACAAAGTTGAAAGAATTTTACAGGAAACACCCGGAGATCTGTCACGGGTCTGTCTGTGGCTGGACTTTGAAGTGTTTCCCCAGTTTTGGGGCTCCTGGCTTGGAGGAATCCCAAGCCTTGGCCTCCACGATGGAAAGAGATGACACTCAGCAAGTATGTATGAAGATTTCATTGTAAGCAAAGTTTAAGAGTTGCAAAGCAAAAGTACATTTCCTAAGGGGAAATAGGTCTGTCACTCCCAGTGGAGAAGACACTGTCTTCTTCTGTTTTTCCTTTTATATGCTAGTGGCACATGTTGATGTAAAGGTCAGTTATAATTATGTATGCCTATACATCACAGGTTTTGGGGTCTGGATTTTTCTAGGTATGGATATAACTGAAAGGTTATGTTCCAGACATTCCTTTCTCCTATATGTGTGATGGTCAAAGTCACCATTTATGGTGTTTTTCTATTTTCTGATTAGTGGTCACTATTCCATGGTCTAATTATCCCATTCTTTAAGACTGAAATAACTGTTTCCCTTGGTTATTTTTCTGTAACTATTTGCATCTTATTGCTTTTCTTTAACTGTTTCCTCCTCCTTCCTTATTTTTCTGCTCCTATCATTCTATTATCTCTTGTTTTTCTGTCCCTAACAGATGCACTGACCAAAACGCTTTCATGACCACCACCAATGAAGGCCAACAGGTGAAGCTAGGTCCTAACTAAAAAATAGTGAGGAAAGGTGATTCCACAGTACCAGTCCACTGTCAGCTCCTTCCTCAAGGAGCAGGAAGCCTCCTCTGTGCCAGGCCCCAAGCACTGGCAGCCCAGCGAGACATCCAACTGGCTCCTTTCCTTTGTTAGTTCTAGAATCTGCACATCCTTGCGCAGTGCATGCAAGGCTACCGCACTGTACAATCAATCTCTGCTCAAAGGCACCAGGTCTTATGTTTTGTACTCACAGGTTTACTATTAAAACTGGAGGAGAGTTTAAGGGTCATCTAGTGAAATCTGATCTTTTGCTTTTAGGCTAGAGGCAATTAAGACACCTCCTCCTCCTAGAGGTTAAAGGTCATGCCCAGGGTCACGGGGTAGGAGGGGAATTAGAACCTTCCAATAAACCACTCTGAGACTTTGGTTCCTCGGCCAAAGTCTAAGGGAGGCCAGTGTTCTAGGTGACGGTGTCGCAAAATGTGAATACATTTATTACATGATGACACAACTTGAAAGTATCAGAGCATTTGCCCCTTCCGCCTCTGCTTGAGCTGCATCTTAATTCTGCCCTCGTAAGGTTCTTTCAAACTGTTTTCACAACTCATAACGCATCTCTAAAACAGCAGTATGCTCCTACCATCAGGATGCATGGCAGAAAATTCAAGTATTAATAGTACAATAAAACCCACTGGGCATCAACACGCATTAACTGCCCTGCTGTAGCAATGACACAGAGGAATGCCCTCTTGCTTCTCCAAGGAACTCTGCACTGATTGATATGCTAACACGTGTCCTCCTCCTCCCCTCTTGGACTAATTAACACCACTCTAGGCCTCCCTACCAGGCTTGTGAATTCTCCTGCCAGAGATCTGGGCTCACCTGGAGCTGAAAATTACTTTGCCAATAGCAAAGAACAATAATTTCCACGTAAACAACAACAAAGACAAGCCTCTCTGGTAGCCCCTGTTTTCATTTTCTTTTATGTGAATCATTTCTCCAAAGCTTTGAAGACAAAGGACAGAGAAGTCTACTAACAGCCAACTGATGGCAAGACAGTCAAAGAAAGACAGCATTTTCTGCCCTCTGGGGCAGTCTCCTGCAATGATGCCTTTGATCAACATCTTCATGGGATTTTGGTTTTGGCTGCCAGTTTGACAAAAGCTTTGAGGAGCAATGACCACGACAATTTTTTTTAACCAAAAAAAAAAAAAGCTACTCAGTGGATACTCTGAAGAATAAAAATCATAGCAAACAACCTGCCTCTATACCTTAAGTCACTGAAACTACCTTAATACAGGCTTGCTTCTTAAAATGACATTCAGTATTTTTCAAAATCAGCAATAAAAATAAATCACCTATTGATCATCCTCAACAATATGGATAATGTTCCAGAAAATGTGACTGAATGAAAAAAGTCAACCCAAAAAGGTTACTTCCTAAATGATTCCATTTATGTAACACTTTGAAATGACAAACTTTTAGAGAAGTAGGTAAGATCTGTGGTTGCCAGGGGTTAGGGAAAGAGCCAGAAGGACCAAGCGGAAGGTAGGTGTGCTTACTTACAAAAGGGCAACACTTGTGGTGTTGGACTGTCATGCGGACACACAAACTTACACAGGTGAGCAAACTGTATACAACTTAATACACACACATCCCTGGGAAAAGCTTACAAAAGACCACACTGCATTATTTCATACAACTGCATGTGAAACAACAGTTATCTGAAGTTTTAATTAAAAAAAAAAAAAAATTGGGCATCTTTCTCTGCCCTGGGGGGAAGAAGTCTTAATTTTCCCCCACCATCTAACAATGGCTTTTTAAGGCACAGAAGGAATCACCTAAGGGATTGTGGCAGCTGAAACTATGACAAGACCAACTGTCAACAAGATAGACTGTGATAAAATTTAGGGGAAGGATTTCCTTCTCAGTCCACCACTCTTATCATCTGTTTCAATTTTACAATCCACCTGGAGGAAGAACTTTTTTTTTTTTTTTTTGAGATAGGGTCTCACTTTGTCACCTAGGCTGGGAGTGCAATGGCATGCTCACAGCTCACTGCAGTCTCAGACTCCTGGGCTCAGCGTCCTGAATAGCTAGCACTACAGGCATGCATCACCATGCCTAATTTTTTAAAAATTTTTTGTAGTGATAGGGTCTTACTGTTGTTGTCCAGGCTAGTCTTGAACACCTGAGCTCAAGAGATCCTTCCACCTCAGCCTCCCAAAGTGCTAGGATTACAGGTGTGAGTGACCACACTCTGCCTAGAACTTTTTACCCTGAAATGTACATAGAATATTTCTTCCTCTGTACCTCAACATCTTTAGTAATGCGACTAAGAAATCACACATGATTTTATGGACTGGTGAATAAACTTGAATCCCTCAGTGTTTTTCAGGGTTGACTAAATTATAAAGGAAATGTGGTTAATAAATGATACAGCCTATTACTGATCAAAATTAAAAATGTCACAG